CTCGATAAGACGATAAAACTTATCGACTGGGATAATGCTCTGCAGTAAGTTTTTCACTAAATGGTGGCTTTATTCAGCTTGTTACAATCATACGACCGCCGTTGAAATTTATACTAAAAAACAATTTTAGCTAAACTCATCCATCCATACAAGATGAAGGCATCCTTTGTAAAGCAATCTCAACCTTAGTAGATGCATCTCTACTACTCAATTATGTCCAAATATGCCATGCACAAAGCATCTGATGACCCTTCATTTGCCCAAATTACGCAGCCGCTCAATAGATGTGAGATGTAGATAGAAACGACCTGTGTGGCTAGTTGAGACCAAAAACTCTCATGTCAGAATAGGATCAAGCACTTTGACAAAAGGAACTTGGGATTTTGACACGATTGACTTTTTCCGTAGTGAGTGTGCTTTTTGTAGGCGTATTTGATATGATCTATCGAAATTACACCGCTAAATGGCAGCTGACAGTTTTAGAAAGTTGAGACTTATACTTGTCGTCAATATATTTTCATTGAAAAGCTACGAAGCTCTAATGAGGTACCAACAATGTTCACTGTGCAGTTAAGATTCTACAATACACACCGTTTTCATCAGTTTGAAAGCCGCGCAAGACTCAAACTTCTTCAATATTGACTGTAAGAAGTAAATCTTTCAGGTAATGAAAGCATTTTTGCTAGGAGATGTCATCTACACATCACGGTGATGAAGGATGTCGAATGGTATACAAAGGCTCTCGAACCAGTTTCGCCATCAAACAAAGACTTGATCAAACACAATGGAAGTAATGATTAGAACACGCTGTGTAACTTGTACATTTAATTGGTGATTAGCAATTGGGTGTCAATAAAGCCGCCGCCTCGATGAATACGAGTGTGGCAATAAATTACACTAATACAGCAATATGAGCTGATTATGTCGACCGTACAGTGTTTCAAGGACATCGAACGTTGAGGGTTAAGAAATGAAGATATGAGCGACTAATTTCTTGCACATTCGAGGACTTGAAAGACGGCTAATGTTGTCGGTTTAGTAAACTGACAGTACGTGGGGTTCCTTGTATCATGCAATGTAAGGACTGTTTAGTTGCTTAATGCAAGAAAGTCGGCAAAGCTTACGATTTGTACTGCAAGCAAGGCTGATAGAGAGGGCACAATGACAGCTTGGATGGAGCGACCCGAGTAAAAAGCTAAAAGCTAGTACACCTGCAGCGGATAGGACAAGCAGGCACATTTATTGTCAATTCGATAGATAGATGACCAATAACTGCTGGAATCAGCAGGATGTTACGGCCGCAATCTCCCGTGCAAGTCGGATTTGAAGCTGTAAGAATTTCGACGGCAGCGCTTGCGGAGTAATAGTTACAGGTTATACGGACGTAGACTGAAAAAGCAACATAAACAGCCTTCGCTCGTCTTAGAGAACGATAGGGATAATGCAGATGCACTAGTGAAATACGGTGTGACCATCCTTGAGCTTAGCGGACGGCTGTAGAGATGTGAATCCAAAGAAGTGGCTTGGAGTCGTGCGATGCAGAAAGATCTCAGTCATTAAGTAGAAAAAAAAACATTCGTTAAGGCTGATGAATGCTTACCAGCAACGCAGGCTACAACATCTGGACCATGCACGTTGACCATGGATTTGGAATAATGTAGCCCCCAACAAGTGCGTGTCAATGGAGAACGAGCTCGTTCAGACTAGAATTAAGTCTGAAGACCTCTTGGACGGATAAGCTGGTCTTTAATGGCACATCTTACTGAATCCTCTTGACTTTTGATTCAATGTCTCACCCGAAATTGATAAAAACCGTCAGGTGCGTACAAATGGCTGTAATCGAGCACTGCTGCATAGCTAGAATGACAATCTGGATACATCTCATGCTCTCAGACATTCGTAACTTCGTCGTTGATTCCCGACAGAATGGCGCTAACATGATTATCTTCTGACGATACCTAACTGAGAAAAAGAAATATGGTTGGGTTTTGGGCAGAAATTGAGCTTACAATATTAGTTCCGTCTAGAAACAGCGAGACTGTTGCGACACAGGATGTCTATGGCAATCGTCCTGTCACTCTCCTTGCTCTCGCTAGTCAACATTCTGTTCAGAAGCTTTGTGATTGCCTTATGAAAATGCCATGACATGTAAGAATTTGATATCCCAGGGAGTGGAATGCCTTGTTCGGTTTAAGTCTGCGAGCATGAATGCTCAGGCGCCTTGAGTCTGCTTCGCTCGTGATAGAACATCTCATTTTTTTCTCGTCAGCAAATGCACTGGGAGCGGTTCTCGCATCATTCCATTTTGACAAGTTGGTGCTATGTGCCTTAAAATTTCTCGTTTTTTGGAACACTGATCGTCCATATGGTGAGCTAATTACAATTCGTTGTGGCTAATGCAGTCGCACGAGGGGATAGACAATGATTTCATCGTAACAGTGTCGACAAAAGTTTGCACACTGTTCTTTTCGATGCGAAAACGTGCATGTGATTGTTCTACATTTTCAGGATCAAATCTTCCCGGCTGACGAGGCCTCGTGCTGATCAGATCGCGGCTTTTTTCAATCAGATGGAACGAGCAAACTTATAGAAGCGATGACCAAACGATAGATTGCTAGATTGTTTTAACGGGTGAAATAATCAGAGCAAGATTACGCATATTTGTGATTACTAGCTCAATAAAATATAGAAGTCTTTGAGACGCGCGTGGTCTAGATACTAAAGTTCTGAAGAAAAACATTCCAATCGTTTGTCTGCCTCATCTAGAAATTTAGTTTTGTTCAAAATTTCGATAATAAATCAGTAGGCAACAAATAGGCACAACTAGCTAATGCGATGAATGACTGTCACATTCTGTCGAGATGTTAAATCTCAAGGACATTGTAGCACCTTGGAAGGTTTAAAACTCATGCTGATACAAACAAAGGTCATCGTACCAGTACCTTTTATTAAACCAGAGAGGTCTCAACGTAGCGAAGGTAACAATTTGAGCCGGAGCGGAAACAGATTACAATGTTCCATTGCTTAAAAAAATGCGAGAGCTGACCATATTATTGATTTTAGAAAAGATCAGTAGTTACTACTTGGGGAACATATGGCATGTACTGCCAGAAGTACTGTCAATAGAGAGATTGCGTTAAGCTCATGCTCGCATCTGTTTGATGTGGTTTTGAGTGCAGAGACAAATCATTGAATCAAAAATAATTTATTTTTGATACCGCTCAAGCCTGATTTTAAATACTTGGTATAAAAAGGAATTTCGCATATTGTTCTTATAGGTTTAGGCTTGAAGTCAATCGAAATAATGGTCAAGGCACCTGGTCGGCTATAGATTTTTTGATGTCGACATACATGTAACATGATTTATCTGCTGCTCTTTAAGGCGCACGATACTGCAAATGTCGATGGACGTCGAATCATTTAGGTATGGGGTGAATAAAGAAACTGTGTACTATATCAGCATCTTGGTATATTTTCTCGAAAAAAAATACGATCGTACATCTTCCTGTGTACTTCGCCCTAACAACCATCACAGTATAAATGGTGCTTATTATTTCGCCCAAACGTAAATGTAGCGGTTGCTACTACAGAATTGATACAGCGTTCGTGTTTGGCAGATAACTTTGGTGTTATTTTACACGTGTTAATATTTTGCTGTGGACCGCAATGACATATTTTGGCAGTTCTTTTTCAACTTTTGTGACGTAGTTATCATCTTGCTATGCTGACTATTTCGCAAAACAGTAAGAATCAACATTCACAAAAATATATTTAGCGTTGTAATGGAGCCGCATTGTGGTCTCAAATAGATGGGAACACGTGAAAAGATATGTCAAATTTGGGTCAATTATTATAAACACTAGTAAAAAGGCCCTTGCAAATTTTCAGGGTGACAAATGTAAATATTAGAGCATCGAACTTCAACCCCTTAACGTTTCTTGTATGTTAAAAACAAGGTAAACAGGGGCTGCCAACTCTGAAGCTCTTTAAAGGGTCTGATATTTAATAATGAGTGCACGACATAGCAAATTGGATACAATTGCAGTACAGTTTCTGGCGCAGACCGCCGATGATGGATTAATAGCAGCCAATGCAGGGGTCCAACGTTATAAGTAAGATGAGACTCAGCTGTTCCGAAATGACACTTAGGGCAGCCTGCCACTACGTTAGTAAGATGACGTTGTAATTACATTAGACTGTTACAAATCAGCTCAAAGTAAATTGCAAAAATAAGAGTTCAATGATTTCTTGGTGCGCCGATTTCCAAGCAATCACAAGACGAGAGCGATCGACAAAAATGACTGCAATTCCAGATCATGTTAGATCTGAACTAGCAACTGAAAAATTTACAAGCTGCTGCTAAAATCAGCACGTTGGCTTCGGATTCAACAAAATCCAGACTCATAAAAAAGGTGACAATGATATCAGATTGATTAAAAAGGTGATGTCGACTTTATTTTCCCATTACTTCCAAAACGCGTTAATTTATTGCATGTTTGGGAAGAAAAAGCGAACTTGTAAAATCGACGATTGAATTCCACGTGTAAGACGATTACGAGCGCTTTGAGCGGGACATATTCATGTTTATGAAACTGTGGAATGACCGTAAAGGGGTAGGTGAGCGCAAACAAGATGGATCAAAGTAACGCCTGACATGGTGAAAAAAACTCATCATGATTTGTTTGATAGCTTATGAATATGTTTCGGCGGTATCCCTTATCTTCCTGCAAAGCTTTGAAGTACATAGTAATCACTTAAAATTAAATTGCACAAACGCTTCGTAAGCAGTCGAGACTACGTGCAGCCCTAGAAGTAGTAATAAGCCATACCTACCTGATCCTAACCGGCTTGCTGCTACTCTTCGAGCGCAAGTGGGACCCCAATGTTTACAATCCTAATATCCTTCGATCTGTACCGCCCACCCTTCTGTCTCATTGCCACGTGATACTTACTTTATAAAAGAATTTACCCTCTAAGTCACACCTCGCAACCAAGAATCGATGAGTCGATACCCCTATGCCTCACGACCGCTTAGCGATAATCTCGTCAGTCTTGTGTGTCCACGAGCAATTGGTAGTCGCTATCATCCTCACAAGATGGTTTCACCTTACCAAGTCGAATCAAGTCTTTACAAGGCACCACAAACGCATGATATACGCGATCTGTTGAATCAAGACTTTCTAATCAATGCTAAAGGTCCAGGCACATTTCTGAGTTTGAATAACGCGGCTCGCGTTTACCCTAGCCAATTTCGTCCCGAATTAAAGGCTTTCCCAGCGTCAGAAGTGTCAGCTTTAAACTCAAGTCCAAGCAAGTTGACAGAGACCGACAAACGCAAACGAGAGGACGCCCACAAGTTTCGACGCCGAGAACAATGTCGAGCTAACCAGGCGCGATATCGTCACAAGCAAAAAAACGCGCAGTTGCAACTAGAAAAGAGCACCGAAGAATTACACAAGGATCTGGAAACTCTCAAACGTCGGTACCGAGATTTGTCCTCTCGTGAGAGGATTATTCAGAGCCCATGGAGTATCGTAGCTGATGTCTTTAGACTGCTCGATATCTGTTTTCGCTCTTCATGGCGCATGACCAGTACAAAGGAGATGAAATTTCACACAGAGACGCGAGAGCTTTTGACCATTTTAGAACGATCATTTGCAAGTAATGTGGCAATGGGAGAGCTACAAGGCGTCGACGCCATGATGGAGCAGCTACTTTTATATTCGCAGATATTTCAAACCTCTTGCTTACAATTACAAAGGATCGAACGCGTGGCCCCTGGTGTAATGGCTGCTCGAGCAACTATCAACTTGACATTGACTGAGTTTACACTACGTCATGCTTTCCCTCACCTGGAAGAGTCGACTAGCCAAGAAACTGATGGTTCCTCGCTGTTTTTGCGACTTTTGGATCAGCAACTGGAGTGTCGATGCTCATTGACCTTCTTCTTTGACGAAGAGAGCGATCGTGTGGTTCGTCTGGCTGCTAGCGTTGATTTGATGACGCCGTTGCTTCAGGTACTGGGCACTCTCGAGGACGTAAAAACGGTACTCGAACATGCACGTATTTCAGAAGAGTGTGTTATTAGGAAAGCTCGAGAAAAAGAGGAGATTCCGGATAGCCTAGTTTGAATTAAATATGGAAAGTAAAAAACAATTTCCTCGCTTACGTATACGCAGCTGATAAGAAGCACAACACATTTGTGGTCTATGACATCATTTCACATATGTATCACTTTGTTTTAAGCGACATGTGGAGATGAGGTATCTACGGTACTGCTGAATTTTTGCTGCCCGTCGGTCAATGGTGGATCATAGGAATTGATGAGTACCTTACAGATGCCTGCTTCAAACGATAAGGAGTAAGATTGCTTGCATATGTCTCGACAAGGTTTACTGGCAAGTCTTTCTGAAAGTGTGGCTAAACGAGACTGCTGGGCTTCATGCGTGTGAGCGGATGCTCCACGTACACAATATTCTTGAACCTGCGAGGAACGTCACAAGTGTTTTGCAGATCGCACAAAAGTCTATTTTGACTAAATATTTCATTTTCTGAGTATGTCCTTAGTCTTGCCATGCAAAATGAGCATCAATTGCGCTTCTGAAAAAAGTGAATTCCATATGGAAAATATTAAGCTTTATTTAGTTGAATCGCGATAGAGAAGGACTGTCTTTGCTAATCTCGAACGAGTATCACGCAACTTTATCAAGTCTTCCATCATATTTACGGGGTTGACGCAACCGTCGGATAAATTAATTTTTTACCGAATGTCCTCGTCTTGTCTTTTGTCGATGTATACGTTTTGAAAGGTCTCTATGTTACCGCTTGATAATCTGTAAATGCAAAATCTTACTGAGAATCCTGGCAATTAACATACATTAATCACATCGAAGGGCTTGATATCGTCCGTTTCAAAAATATAGAATGTCTTGTAATCCAATTTGTATCTCACAAAGCCGAGACGCTTGGATATCCAGCGGACGAGCACTGAAACAGCAGGAACTACTAGATAATTCATGTTGTTTCAGTGCTCGTCTGCTGAAAACTTACGAATGGCACGAGCGACTTTTGAAAATGCCAGTTTCTTCAAAGTATTCGAGAATATAACTTGTTTAGCCGATTGGGCTCACGCAGTACAAATTGCCTACGCCATGATGCTTTGAGCTTGAGCGATTCAGATCACTTCATTTAAAAGTATCGTTGTATTACGAATTTTATTTGCTCGTGGTGTGCACTTACAGTACGTTTACTGACAACCCTTTTGACAATGTTTAATATTCGCCAATCAACAATAAACGAAAAATACAGATTATTTTTTGCATAATCTGATGCTAATCTGAGTGAGCAGAAATTCATAGAATCTCATTGGCCCAGACGACAATTTAGCCAAGAATACAGGAATCGAAATTTGTTTTAATGCAACATTGCAAAATTATTGGGAAAATTGACGAAGAAAACGAATCAGGTTTCTTACAGCAGGTGCGGCCATAACACGCTTGCTGAAATGATCTATACTTGTATTTAGAAGGTCAATATGCTTATAATGATGCTCAATGTTCTCATGAGCTGACAATCAAAGGGAGTTCGTCAGATTCACTGATCTGGCGTAGTGAGCGACAATTAGCGAGTCATCTAACGGCTTAGAAGTTTACATCAACTTATATTCATGAATCTGATTGCTTGATTCATCCCTCGTCAGATACTGGACAGCAGTGCCTGAGAAATTATCTTTAACCGAAAAAATGTGTTGGTAATGTAGGGCATTCATGTCGATGCAGCGATTTGAATATATTATAGGCTGGTTGCTCAATCGCGAAATAGTATGTGCCCGTGTACAACCATGGTATCTTCAACTTGTGAATCAGATGGGATGGTTGTTGGGATGGCTCTATCTGCATTGGATAAGTGCGTGCTTATGACATGAACACGATTTTCACCTGATTTTCCAACGCACTATGTTGCGGACGCAGACTGTAGTCATACTGTGTACAAGCTGCATACACTGCCATTCAGGGAAAGTGGATTAGAAACCGAGATCACAGTTTTATTTTACGGTTCGATGAATAACTGAACGCACGTTTGACAAAGAGTTGACAGAAGTCGAGCTAGTGAGAGGGGTGAGAGATACAATATATTAGCAGCGGTTAAAAGCAACATCACTTAGAAGTTAAGGTTGCAATGTATTTCAGCAACTCGATAGCAAACCTTTGCGAGAACATCGCGCTGATATGAAAATGGGACGAATAGACTTCAATATTTCCTGTATACCAAAATATAATTCCACAAATGTCAGCACAACTGATAAAATCATTTCGAGGATGTGTCCCCAAGCAGCTTGTTTCTTTTCTGGCCGCATTACATAACAGTGTTTGAGATGGACAACAGCTCGCCATCTTCAAGAGCAGGAAGTAAAGCAAAAACGATTTGTGGCGTATTTACATTTGCTCCGAATGATAACCGATTTGATAAAGCTGCAGCACCTTGATCAAGCTAAAGATGTTGCCAGAGAGCTACGTGCCGAGTTATAGTACCTCTTACGACAAAATATTGTTGGGAACTTTGCAAAAATCAGTAGTCATACAGATTTAGGTTTACTTGCTAGTGAACTAGCCATATTTTAGAACGGCATATCTTTATAAGTGCTATTTTGAGAAATAGATAAATATCTGCTATTTTTGGGCCAAAAATACAAGCTTAATGTGAACCACATAACTATAGTTTAAAGCATGGCAGACTCGAAGGTGTGTGCGTTCCCAAGTAGAGTTCTGCTGCTTCTTACATTTTAAATGGATTACTTGCTTTGTAGGATCTGGAACAAGTGTATTCGGATCTTGGTGTACGAAGTATCAGCTCCATCGTCTGCATCTGACTAGCTCACACCTTCTTTCTCTCTCTGTATGTTTGTCTTTTGTTGCCATTTGTAGAACGTACTGGATCGCATCGATTCGGTAGAAAAGCAGATGAGTGTCAAACTTAAAGAGGTAGACGGACCTGTTGGTGGTACTGATCTCCAAGAGTTTCAAAAGGAGATGCTGGTCAAGCTTCGAGCAATTAGAGGTGCGATCTAGCTGCAATGTTGTTAGTTACCTACAGAGACATAAACGAAGGTTTTTTTGTAGATAAGATGTTTGAGGAAGGATCAAGCCTAGAACAGCTGCGCAAAGAGCGTGATATGGCCCGCAGCGAGCGCGACGCCTTGGTAAAGCAGGTGGACAAACTCAATTATCGTGTACAGCACCTAAAGCAGCACGTATCTGTGCCATCCCCTGCCGACATGAAGCTCTAGGAATGGCTTTAAATCTAGATATGACAGCTGGATGTTGCTAACCGAGTTCTGGCTAGCCAAGGGGTAGGAAAGAAGTATCGATTCATGCGATATTAAGGTTTAGAATATATGCGAGTTGCTCGGAGCCTTCTGACTTTTTGTCATGTCATTATGAAGATGTATCACGTAGGGATGTACTCTTTTTGATCAAAGCACTTGGCAGGCGACGAAGCTAGGGCATAGCATAATAACTCAAAAGTTATTCAACGTGCTAACCAAAAGAAGTTGACACGTGTCATCAGACTTACATTCAGTAAACTAGAAATGAAACGAGCAGCCTTAACTCAACATTACAAGTATTTCTCAAGGGTGTGGTGAGCTGGAACTCTTATATAGCAGCAGATAAAAATTTTGTATTGTAGATACTGAAAGATTAAACTTGTGCAATATATCTCACATTTGCCATTAAAGAATAGAACTAAATGACACATTACTTGAGGGTCTCTTGGTACTGCTCCTATGTAAGGCGTACGGGCCCATCCTCTCCCCGTTTGTCAGCGTGCACACGTTACAAAGAGAGCTTTTGAGAGGACAGTAAATAAATTACAAACTGTTGCTCGCAAAGCAATTGCACTCCATAATCAAGAAGTATATGAATCATAACATGTCGTTCTTTTTCGTGCTATCTGTCTTCAACAGTATCTGATAACCCTTAGGTGCCGATATTGTTTATATTAGCGAACAGCTTATTGCAAAATTGTTAGCATCAGAAATAACGTGAAGCTGATGAATGTTGCATCGGGGCTGCCGTAGCTCTTTCGCTTAAAGGAAGGTCAGCTATACTTAAAACCAAAACGAGTGTAGCCTTGGGTTAAGCACAACCATAACCCAAGGCAAGTAAACTCTTGTTCTAAACTCCTGTTCAAAATGTAAACTGTATTTCGTTGTTTTATTTGCGGTAAAGCCGAAATCTATAAGTTTTCTTAGTAAAATACTAAAACCTTATTAAAATGCATGACTACTGGCAGACCAGCCACGTAGTGCAATCTTGCTAAGGTGTAGCCACATCATTGTGCACTCACACCATCTTCTGTGACCCACCCCTTCTACCAGGGTACGTGTAACCCCCAATCAAAATTGTAAGCACCCACAATTCACATTTAACTGTCGTCTCGTACTAGGCTCGCGTGTCTAAAACACCTCTACGACCTCAGGACCTTCTGCACGCATTCTCTGCTCAATATGCCCTATGTCTATGACACGGAAAACACCCAGTCTCGCCGTTTCCAAGAACGCACGCGGACAGAGTCCTTCTTTGTCTCCTGCACGCGGTACAACGTCGAACAGCACGTCTCCGGCTTCAAGGAAAGCGCAGCTCAAGCCCTCGGTTACCGAGCATCGCGCACCGCGCCGCCACGTGCGACAGATTACCTCGTCGAGAATTTAATGGAAGTCGACTACGAGTCGGATACTCCTTTCTGAGGATGAGAAAAAGAGGAGGGTGAGGTGCGCCAGCGGCGCGACGTGAGCCCTGCTCGAACCTTGCCCGTTTCCCAAACTTTTGATCTCCGGGGGAAGTGCTGTCATTACGAATGGCTTCGACGAGGCACAGAAGCAGCAACTGGACTCTGTCTACAGGGCGGTTCCTATGCACGCATCCACGGGTCGGTCCTTGACCATCGTTTGAAACACTCGTCCGCTCAGCGGATCCCGCTACATAAGCGAAGGACGCGATCACTCGATCTTTGGGCGTCAACGTGGTCGGGCTCCCGGCCGCTACACAAGCTGAGCTTGACCAGCGAAACGTTTTCCGAGCTTGCTTCTTGATACCTTAAGAAATCAATGGATCGACAACGCGCTCAACTACGTTTTCAAAGTGACCTGTGCCCACGATGCGGGCAATTTTTGTGGTGCTCGCCACTGGTGAAACCGCTATAGATGACTTAGATCTCTTGAGCAATAGATGCAATGGCAAACTTTTTTCGCTGTCCAACTTAAGGTCGAGCCACAAGGAGGTGGACGTGCGCGTGGAACACCATCTTCGGTCGAGTTTGCCAAACTCAAAGCGCAACGCCGGCTTCCTTCGTATTGCCAACCTGCGACGTATGGATTAATCCATCCCGCTCCCGCGAGCACTGTGGTCTCTCACACGAATAAGACTGCGATCACAGCAGCTCAGGGCCATAGCTTGAGTTCAGCTCATGGCCCTTCGGCTTCCTTGGCTACAGTTGAGAAGCACGGGCGTACGAAGAGAAACGTTATGATCCCTCTGATGATAAGCGCTCATAACGTCTGGACACTC